TTGCAGGTCCTATTAGCTTCATTCCCACTAGACGAAGGGGACAACATTCTCAAAAGGCATACATATGTCTTTTTATTTGTCTAGTTACGAAAGCTATTCATATAGAATTAGTTTCTAATCTTAGCACAGATGCGTTCCTTTCCGCCTTTAAAAGATTTATATCTCGCCGCGGTCCAGTATCTGTTATGTATTCAGATAATGGCACCAATTTCGTCGGTGCTAAAGCCCAGCTCGACGAAATATATAACGTATTAAATAATAAACAGCGCCCCCTATATTATAGCCGCCCTAGGGGGCGCTGTTTAATTTTTCATACAAAATTTTTCGATGACACTTTGAATACGCAACGAAACGAACTCGAAAGTTTTTCGTACTAGAGGTACTGAACGTTCAATCGAACTAGGTACGGTTGTAATAATAGGCAATGATAATGTACCGCCTTTGCATTGGGTACTTGGTGTAATTACCGAAGTTTTTCCCGGTTCCGATGGTGTGGTCAGAGTCGCTTCTGTTAGATCCAGTACTGGTGTCTATAAGCGCCCAGTAACTAAATTATATCCGTTACCTACACAATAACAACTTATAACGCATGTATTTATTACATTAACTACTCATTTATTGCCTTGTTTCAATTTATTCGCATTATTATTATGCATTAATTTAAATACTTTAAAGCTCTTCGATGTGAGGACTTTATACATTTTGTTTTCTTTAGGGAATTGATTCTTTACGATTTCCTGGATGTATTTTGAAGTTTTTTNAAGTTTTTTCCGGTTCCGATGGTGTGGTCAGAGTCGCTTCTGTTAGAACCAGTACTGGTGTCTATAAGCGGCCAGTAACTAAATTATATCCGTTACCTACACAATAACAACTTATAACGCATGTATTTATTACATTAATTATTATTTTATTTCTTGAATATTATTCGCATTTTTATTATGCATTAATTTAAATACTTTAAAGCTCTTCGATGTGAGGACTTTATACATTTTGTTTTCTTTAGGGAATTGATTCTTTACGGTTTCCTGGATGTATTTTGAAGTTTTTGTTTATACCTATACTTAGCAAATTGCAATAATACGTCATGTTCCCCCTTTTCTTTCTCTTCTTATTATAATTTCTTTATTGAAGTCCTAATGAACTTCAAGGCGGGGAGCATGGTTGGGCCTATGTCCAACTTTCTTATCTTTCTTATCTTCCTTTTCTTCGGTGGCTCCAACTCTCAAAATTATCTAGCTGCATGAGATGGTTTCCCACTAATCTGTTTATCGGATTCGGGGCCAGCACCTTCGCAGGAGCCAACCTTCGCGAAAAACCTCTATGGAAAATTAAGAAGAAAAACTCTATGTTGTCTTGGAACGTCTGTCAAATGAAGTCAATGTGAAAAATCCTAAGAAAAATCCGCTGAATATTTGCTGAAGATATTGAAATAATCAAAACCGCAAGAAATATCGACGGGTCGACCCTCGAAGCCTGGTCTCCGTCTTCTGATCCGCAGGTTGGTGGTTTCCGTTTTATGCAGCTGTATTTTTGAGTTGTTTGGAGTCACCAGCCGACCCCCGCATCATCTTTCTTCCCCGCAATTTTTTTATTTCCTGGTGTGGCTATTTACACGCCACACCAGGTATATACACTAGCCCATGTTAACATATGCATATAAATGGTATGGTGAAGTCAGAAAATTTATATCATCATTTTAATTATTTTAATTTCCATACAAATCTGATTTTATAAATTTTATTTTGTATAAACATTTAAAAAATTAAAATGATGATATGAAATTTCTGACTTCACCATACCATTTATATGCGTATGTTAACATGGGCTAATGTCGGCTCATATACCCATTTACCTAACGCGCTGTACTGTTGAATTTTAAGTAAAGTATCAGATGAAATTAAGTTACACGAAACTACGATAGCCAAACGGGTCGGATTAGCCGACTCGAGATTCGAGGAACGCGGGTTCGAATCCCACTGCTCGACTATTGTGGTGAGCCCACTCGTAACACAAGCATATTTAGCTTATCAAGAGGGGCTCACGGGAATATTAGTAATTTGTGCAATGCAAACTACTAATAATCTTTAAAAAAATGTTCTTAGTTAAAGTTGTTCGTAATCATGAGTAATGTAGTAACAAACCTCTATGTATTTTACACTAATACTTCACCATATATTGTAGATGCTTTTAAAAGCTTTTAACGTACATTAAATTGTGTGCAGTAAATAAAACCTGACCTTGCCCAAGGCCCACGCTATCAAGTGGTGTCACTATGAAATATAAATCACCACTCAATACGGATGTACGACAATTAGTATGCAGTTAATTACAATTTTACAATCTAAGACACGTTAAGGGGTCTACTTCGCAAAGTTATGTCTTACGAGAGTTAAACAAGATAAATTGAGCTTAATAATGACTTTTTAAGGTTCAGGGTTTAAGGGTCTCAGGGAGTATTCGACTTTGAAAATTCAAATTTTGGACGTACCTACTTATTTGTAATCTGTAGGCTTGTAGTGGTAAGAACTAGATATGGGAATTTATATATTTCACCTACATATTTTTATCTGCATCGTAAAAATATGAAGTTACAAGTATAAATGAGTAAGAGGAAAATGAGTTAGGGAATGTGTTACGGTTAAATCCAATTCCAATTTATGCTAAAAGTTCAATACGACTTTGATTATTTTTACGCTTAAAAGAGAAACAAAATGAATAAACATTGCTTCTATGGTTACTATTGACCTACTCGTATCGTTCGTTCGTTTCAGCCGAAAGACGTCCACTGCTGGACAAAGGCCTTCCCCAAAGATATCCACAAAGACGGATCCTGCGCCGCTGGCATCCAGGCACCTCCCGCGACCTTCACCAGATCGTCGGTCCACCTAGTGGGAGGCCTGCCCACGCTATGTCTTCCGAGAACTTTCCTGCCCCAGCGGCCATCAACTCTACGAGCTATGTGCCCCGCCTACTGCCACATGATTTTAGCGATTCTGCGGGCTATGTCAGTCATTCTGGTTCTCCTACGGACCTACTCGTCCTATCTAAAGCCTTTATATTATTGTAGCATTGACAGAGCGACCTATTTGGATTACCATAATCTTGATTAAGATCAAAATCAAAGTACCTTCAACTAAGCTAATCTGCATTTTGTACAAATTGCTTCGATAAAGCCCTTCTCTCACACCTAAGAGCCTTTTCTTTAATTTATGCATGTAGTATATTAATAGCAGTTACCATACTTGTTAGTAGATCCGCTTACTCCACGCGTAAATCTAAACAAGATAGTATATCTTTTGTTTGTCATCGGATTATAAATATAGATGTGCGCAAGAGCACTCGATCGGTTACTATGTTTCAAACGTGATTAAAAGTTAACACAATGTTTTTTATCCACAATGCGGAAGCTCTCGACCTGCATCTCATCTGGTAGAAAGTGAATCTTATAGGTTTAAAAAACTGTAAGAAGACAGACTTATAATGTTCACAATTCTTTCTAATCCTAAGACTTAATGATGGCTCAACCAGACCATCAGCTTCACCTGCTTACTACAGCAGCCATCAATGATAACCAAATGACAATTATACAGTGATTTTTCGATTATAATGTTTTGAATTGAACCCAATTTGAGATCACCCAATAGGCAGGCTCCCACTATGTAATCACTAAGCCCGGGAGGCGTTGTAGTCTCTTGTATGCACTTATTTAAACATTCTTAACAGACAGGTGTCTCTACAACCAATCATTTTCTATTTACTCCCATGATCACCATAAAGAGAAAAACTAACCATCGCTAATTAAATAACACCTACCAAAAGGCTTATCGTCTAAACGGATCGACAAACTAACAAACTGGCCATTTATGACGGCGATTGAATCGGAATCCGTATTTGGGCATGCGCACGCGCCTATAGCCCATACTTGGAATATGTAAATTAGTATCGAAACATCGTTGTCAAAACTTCAACTTCTATCCAAAAATGAACCCTGAGTTGGAAAAAATTAGACACACAATCAATTGGTAAAGAATTCTCGATAATCTTCCCATTACCACCACCAAGTCGATTGTCCGAAGGTGTCAATGATGATTGGTTGTTAGTAAAATCAATTCGAACAATAGCTTTTTTGTTGACCAAATCAATTGTGGCGACAAAAAACCGTATTACAACGGGTTATTAATATCATTAAGGTCTACCAAAGGTCGGAAAAAACAGTATCTTAAAAGGATGTGCTAAAAAATGACCTTCTGTCATCATGAAGACATGTAACCTAATCTAAGATGACCTTTTTGTTAATTGTAGAGTGTTACAAAAAGTAAGTAGGTAGGCACCTGATAACAATGTATTCTTTTAGAATGACTTAAGTATTTTGAAAATCAGCTTGTTAATGTTTTATAAAACCTTTCAATGCCGATGTTTTCATTGATATTTAATTGGGATTGCCAACTAAAGAGTCTTCTTAAGAATGCCATAAAATAGTAAAAGTATACTATCAGTAAGCATAATATGTAAGCTTCTAAGTTCCGTTTGTATCTGACGCCGCCACACGAAAATGTAGGTAAATATGCCGGTGGCTGCGTTTTGTAGATATGACGTGAAGCCCATGTCATCATCATCATCATTTCAGCCATATAGGACGTCCACTGCTGAACATAGGCCTCCCCCAATGCTTTCCATGTTGATCGATTGGTAGCGGCCAGCGCTTCCCCGCTACCTTAATTTGCGTCCCACGCTGCGTTTTCCGGTATGCGGCCTCCGTTCCAGAACCTTGCTGCCCCATTGGCCGTCAGTTCTACGTACTATGTGCCCTGCCCATTGCCACTTCAGCTTGCTAATCCGTCGGGCTATGTCAACCCCATGTGCCCGCCAATAACACCCTTTTTCGTCGTATTGAATCACTTTTCAAAGTCCTTACTAGTGTCAGTAATTATAACTCATTGTTCTGCTTGATTGATTTATAATCATCATCAAACTTCTCTAACGATATCTTTTGTCAACAGTAACACAATCCGAGCAAGAGAGGTCGTGCATAGCGCTGCTCAGGCTACAGCGAAGGTGTGGCCAGTTCCTATGGGTACACGCGGTATTGCAGCTTAAGGACAACCTGGAGAACTCACAGCGGCCGGTTATCGTGTGCACTAACCAGGTGTTGAGGTAAGTCCTGTCATTTTATGTTTTGATCTGGCATAATAATTATGACTGACGGGATTGCTACCATGAACCTTAATTTTGAGTTTCCGATATTTCGGCACTGTTGCAAGCGCCATGGTCACGGAGTAACTGTACATGGTAGCAATCCCGTCAGTAATAATAATTATGATAGTAACCATGAAACTTTAATCTGGTAGTTCCGTAGTGGACTACTTTTACTATAGGTTGCGGGGTCGATCCCTGCAAAATACAATTTCATGTGCGTGAAAGGATCTGTTTAAATTTTTTTTATTAATTTCAGCCAAATGACGTCCACTGCTGGACAAATTCCTCCTCCAAGGATTTCCACAACGACCGCACGGAAACCTCCCGCGACCTTCACCGAATCGTCGGTCCACCTAATGTTTCATAGTCAGACAACATTTTTATTTAGCCTTATTTAATTCATTAATTCAGATTTCTAGATAATCAAAACTCGAATAAATCTCAAGCAAAGGTTCAAGGCAAGTTTGTTTCTTCAATCTCCAATATTTAAACCTATCACAGGCTTTAATGTGTAATAAATCAAGAATCATACAATTTTCATTACCTCCACAAAACATTTCAACGTTTTCATGTTATTGTCAGAGCAATCAATACCATTCAGTTTTAAATAAACTGCCAACAAATTAACCAAGCTTCAAATGCTAATAGTATAATTTATAGTGTTCACAGCGCACCGTGTTTTCGCCTACGGTTTCCCAAACTTAGGCATACATAGTAACTGTCATTTAGTTTAACAGAAATATAGAAGCCGCATTATGTGAGTTAAAATGATGAGACAAAAGTCAGTCAAACTTTCCCCTGGGATTTTACGCCCGTATTTACAAACATTACCATGAGGTCTCATAGTGCGCGTGGACGCACAGGGCGACACACGATCCAATCACAGAGCTCTATTCAACGCTGTGCGTTCGTTTTGCTGCTTCACTTAAGCAGGCATCGTTTGTGAATACGGGCGTTAGTCTTCGCTATAATAGATGGGTTTTATTGGCAGTCAAGCTGTAGATTATGGTTATACAGAAGATGCAATGGAACGTAAGATTGGCATAGTCTCAAGGTGGGATTCCGAAATATTGTGTTTACTAGCTGTCTAACATAGAGTTTAACCCCACCTCGGTGCTAAGAATGCAACATACCCTGAGATATTAATAAATTAAGAGTAAGATAGAGCTTATATTGGTCAAACATACTTTCTTAATATTTTTAGAATGTTTGACCAATAATACTCTCTAGAGGGCGGCATACTTCCTACGTGAATTTATTATGGTACTCGTATATTGACAGTTGATATGCTCTTTTTTCTTTGTTTTATAATATCCGCAAAACCTTGCCAATACAATAGTTCTGGCAGCTTCTATTCTATAGTGCTATTTGTCTGTTAAATCAGCGAATGCAAATTGGCGATAAATCGATAAGATAAACGAACTTTAGATGCGGGAACCAATGCGGTTTAATGAGAAACAAATGGTATTTAGTATAAATTAAAAGGATCATTGATAAACTCTGTCCTCTGGTGTACGCCCCTTCTAGGTCAATCTACAATTACTTTTGTCTATCGAATTGCATTTCATATCATTTTAGCTGTCACAGCACAACTTGTGTTATTTACAGAATTTTGTATGTTGCTCCTTCGCGTGTTTTCCTACTGAACTAATTACTCCACCATGTGTCCAAATATCTATCCCTAAGCTCCCCCAGGCTCTATCATGACTCAAGAAAAAAAATCAAGTCTCGATCAAATTCCAAATATAAAAATTAGACCAACAGGCTCAAATATTATGCTCAAGCTAAAACACGCGTGTAATTTTTCGGATAATAACATCTTGGGTCGATAAAAATCTTTAGAATATGTAGAATAGGCTAGTTTCCAAAAAAAATTGATTAGTTCATTTTAATATTAAAAAATATTGGACACGTATATTTTTAATTGTCAATCAAACAAATAATTATAAGTTATGGTGCGTTGAAGTTCCGCGCGCACCAAGTGCTGCACTTTTAAGCACTCATTGACGTCACGGCCCTCTTCTTTTGAACTTTGGTGCCCTTTTTCTTTTTAAATTTTCATTACTTTGAAAAAGTGAAAAACAAGTGTCGAGTATTTTTTGATAAGCTAACTGACGGACTAATTAAAACTCATGCTTTTTTGCCCAGGAAACATCCCTATTGCAGACTTAGATATTGACCCTTTCGTCAAACAACGACTAGTTGACCCAAATACCAAGCCTTCATCCGACATCCACCTTTATCTTCACAACAAGGGCACTTCGAGATCAATAAAAGCTCACTAATAAATCGTATTCAATGAATTTTCACATAAAACCAAGTTATATTTGCTATACAGACGTTATAACGTAACAAATCGTCGTGTAGGCCGTTTTGTGGGCAATTCTTAGTCGACTATTGCAGTTTACATCATCCGATGGAAGCACTGATATAAACATAAAGTTTTATGTGGATTGAGAAACGGACTACAAGAACCGATAAATGATTTTGTAGTAAAACATCGGAATACGAGCAGTGCTGAGGGTTTAAATAAACCTATACATTATTACATAATACGTATGTATTGACTTGGATAGATGTACACGTAGATAATTACAATAGTAAACTAGCTTTTGCCCGCGGCTTCACCCGCGTAAATTTAGTTTGTGACAGATCGTCATAAATTATAGCCTATATTTCGCATTTATAATATTAGTAGGATATATTATTCTGGGTTATAAACAACTAGCTTTCCGCCCGCGGCTTCGCCCGCGTGGAATTTTGTCTGTCACAGAAAAACTTTATCGCGCGCGTCCCTGTTTCAAAAACCGGGATAAAAACTATCCTATGTTCTTTCCCGGGACTCAAACTATCTCTATGCCAAATTTCATCAAAATCGGTTGCGAGGTTTAAGCGGGAAAGCGTAACAGACAGACAGACAGACAGACAGACAGAGTTACTTTCGCATTTATAATATTAGTTGGGATTATACCGTTATGTTTTATCAAAATCCGTTCAGTAGTTTTTGCGTAAAAGAGTTACAAACATCCAAACATCCTGACATCCAAACTTTCGCATTTACAATATTATTAGGATAGCAGCAGCTACTTTACATTTTCTAAGCTAGTATGGCGATGCGATGTTTATCAGATTTTTTATGTGACACTTTTGAAGTACCCAGGTATTGTCTTATTCTTCTTTATTTGGTGCCAAAGGTAGAGGTCACTACTTCTTGTAAAACAGAGTTAAACATTTAGCAAATACTCAGTTGATAATGAAGATTACCACGATTAGTACCGTTTTAAAGATATATCAATAACTAATTCCATGCTTTTGAAAGTAAGTTAATAAAGGTACCCTTACATTAATTAATACAGTTAACCCCAAACATTGAAAAGATTGTATCGAATTCAAACCTTACCACATTATTATAAGATTGAAGATTTACAAAAACTTGCTATAAAACAATAGAGCCATCCTCGTACGCTACGAACAAGATATTTATCGTCAACGACGAGCGCAATTATGATTACGACTTTAATCCCCGTCCCATACTGCATTTCGTAATTATGAATTGGCGTATAATTGGCCTTCATTTTGTTGGGAATCCAGCAAGGCATTGCAAGGCTGCGGACATTTTTGTGAGAATCTAGGTTTTTTATTTGTAGATTTATGTACTGGTTTATCAACAGCCGCCTTGATGATTTATTTATTTACGCGTTTATGCCATACAATTGGAACATAAGGCGAACTTAATGCCATAAAGGCATTCTCTGCTAGTTCAAAAGCGATTCACGCACTGCACCGTCTAGTTCATGACCCCATAAATCCACATAGTTAGGTCATATCAACTTCTCATTAGCCCAGTGTAGTAGTTTGAGTGTAGATCAATATTTGAGGGTGAAAGTTTGAATGCCGTCATGCAGGCAAGTTTTTAGTTTCAATTTAATTCAAACATAGCAAATTGCCCAGCTCCTAACGACCAAATAAAAGTACAAGCCAGTGAAATACCAAGCCCTTATTTTCGCACTAAACAATTTCCCAGTATTCCAAAGCAAATAGATCAGCATCTAAAATAGCACCAGAATTATCTCGTTCCATTGTCTAGCGCTGTCGCTTAAAAAATATGCTAACAGCAAAACTTTAAAATTAGCCACATTTTCGCCCATTTTGTGTAAAATACGGGCATGCCTTTGCGGCCATCGATCAAGCTCGGTGCTTGTTATACACCGTTTCTCACATCAGTACAATGCTCGTTGGGGGCATATTTCAAAGCTATCCAGATACACTGGACGATCGCCGCGCGCCAGAACTTAATAAATCACGCGTTTACAATATTTATTAGCCGGGAGACCCCACTACGGGTTCGCGATGGTTTTGGCGAAAAATTCAACAGATGTCAGATATAGGATATTCCTATTATAGATGAAACTTTCCTGCAATTTTTGTTGACACGATATTTACGCAGTTTGCCACAAACTAGCTAAGCATTGATATAGCATCTGCGAGTATGTCTCCATCAAAATTCATTCATCAAAATTGAATGTTGGACTGTTAATTTTCTATGAGACTTAACCAAATGATTTTAGTATGTATCTAGAATTATTTTCTTGCTCTCAGTAACTCTGATCAGCTTCTATATGCAAATTAAGTGTCTATCACGCAATTGCATTCAGTATGACATACTTATTAGACTTGATTGCTGAGGAAGAGCTTGAGACTGAAAAAAAAGCTTGCCATTCGTTGAGTTCCACACTAACAATCAGGGTTTCATTTCTAATGCCCGTTTTGACCATCAATCCCTAATTTTTAAGTGACCCCTATGACAACAAAATTCCTGTTATGTGTTACCATAGGGGTCACTAAAAATTTAGGGATTGATGGTGAAAACGGGCATAAGTCACTTATAATAGGGGTTGATCCCACAAACCCTCGACACCATAGTACGGGCCGTGTTTACGCTCGCGTACGTCGCGTCA